TTAGGGTCTATTTTTTGTCTATCATTATATATATATATACCAGATTTTGTTTCTTGTTAATCAATTATTGGATTGGATTAGAACCAATTTCAGAAAAATAAAAATATTAAAATGCCGTATACTTATTCCTCAGACACTATGCCTTCAATTTGACATTGACCAAATCTAGATCTCAGAATTTTGGGAGGACAGTTTTAAATAACTATATATGAAAAATAATATCAATAACTTTCCACATGTTTATGGACTAGGAATAATCCTCTTGAAGAAGAATTATTGGGTTTGACAATATGAGATGTCCTGCTGGGAGCTAATCTCAATAGGTTGAAACAGCTGAAGTCAGGCAGCATTGTGGTCAGTCCACCAAAAGCTGCAGACAGGAGGTCTGCCCACAGGACATGAACTCAGAAGAGTTAAATGAACACAGACAGATGCACCTTTTATTTTCGCTAGGAGCGGTACGAGACCGGATATTCTACAGCACTGGGATGCTCTAAAGAAGGGAGGAAACATTTTCACCCTGAAGCCAACAAAATACAAAAACGACTGGCTCCATTAGCTCCTAGATGCACAGATCTTATTGCTACCTGATATATTTTAAGCATTACAAGGATAGGAGTAATTTAGGGTAGGCCCTGCTGTGTTTTTTAAATGTCTTGTCGTTGTACATAAACATATAGATTTCATATTTAAAATCGAATAATAAAGAAATCACTTAAAAAGCTCCAAGAGTGTACTTTCAAAAGTGTGCTGGAATGAATCATATATCTGGAAATAAGTTAGCATTTAATACTTAGCATTTTCGCTTGTGTCAAAAGTCAATGTTTTTTTGAATGCGTTTGTGGTAGACATTGGAAATGGGTCTTAGGTTTATGCAAGTTTTCGCATTTTTCACAGAGGGTTCAAGAAGGAAAGATGTGTCAGGTAAAACACCCCCACTGGTTTGCTTCTAGCTTTCTATGTGTAGAAATGGCGGTTCGCTTACCAAGTGTCTTGGGACACCCAATCGCCAGTCATTGCTGAACATGGCGCCTTTAGCTTTAGTGATCTTGATGGCGAAGTCCTGTGACAGTACATTTACAGCTAATACGCTGCTTCTACTGCAAAAAGATAGCTTTGACTTTTGTAAATTGATTTACACTTCAAAATAAGTTGGTGTTAATATTGAATCC